TGATTCTACCTAGCCTATTCAGTAGTTTCTATATCCTTGATTGATATTCACTTAATACTTACAAGTGCCCAAATTTTGAAAACTCTGGGTTATCTTTTTCATTCAAATGGCCCTAGGAGGAAGATATTTTTAATTTTCACTTTACAAATAAGAAATCTGAAAATTGCAAGTTATGACGTCCAAGACATTCAACTAGGAGAAATTGGAACCAAGATTTAAAGCCATACTTTCTGATTTAAAGTTCTCAGATCTTTCCATGGTGGCACTTTTAGCACAAATACCACAGTAGCTTTTATTCATTTCACTGCCTATTATATTTCAATCTTGTGAACATTGAGTCCTTCTAAATGTCAGATGATAAATCAGATCTTCTCTGGCAATGCAAATACTGTTTAGTTCCTTCCTTTAGGAATTTATAAGGGGATTTGTGTTTTAGTAGGGGAGACATAAAAGGTGCTAACTGTAAGGCAAGGTCTATGTATAGGTACTTGAAAGCCTGAAGGTGGAGAGGGAGCACACTCAATCTAGAGCAGGGTTGGGATAGTTCAAGATACCCTAAAAGAAGAAATGCCTGAGCTGAGTCTGAAAGGTTGGTTTTGCCAGGTATTATGAGCAATAGCAGAGATTCATGGCGACTGTAGAGAATTGTAGGTTTTTAGAGTTGCTGAAGTAATAAGCATGAAGCAAAGAATGGCCAGAGATCAGGCTGGACTGGTAAGTAGCCACTTGATATACCACACCAGCTACAGTCAGGGCAGAACTGTATATCATACAAATCATAGTTGACCTATGCTTAAGAAACTGCTCAGAAGGGGGTAGTGCCAAGTGGACTGTCAAATACTCAGAGATTTCCCAGCATAAGTCATATTATTACAAAGCCTAGTATGTTGTTCTAGTATGGAGGAACAGAAAAGCCAAGCCACCACTTGGGTTTTTAGCAGTATCTCTTGAGCTGTGTAGTGTTCAACAGTCCAGTCATGGTACCAGTATTTATAGATTGGTCCATTTCTGATTTTTGGATAGGTAGCCATTTAAGATAATCAAGGTTGTGGGTAATTGAATAGCTTCAGATAATTAGCCATGAAGTTGAGAATGAAGTTGGAGTGTTTTGGGAGAAGGGAATACAGATAGGGAGTTGGAAAGAATATTATCATTTAGTTTAAAGTGGAAACTTCTGAATGATAAGATCTAGGGTGTAGATCTAGGTTCTAGGAGTGGGTCTCTAGAGAGGATATAGGTTATTGGAGTCAAGAACTGTAAATCTAGGATTTTGAAGAATTACTACCTGTTTATTTCCTAACATGATATTAGGAGTTAAAAAGATGCTTTCGGGGTTAAAGCACAGCACTAAGAAGCTACCTACAACCACTGTAGCACAAGTCCAATTCCTAGCCAGGGAGGTGACCCACATGATGCAGAAGGCTTCTCCTGTCTCACCTACTGCTCCCCTCCACAGTGTATTCAGTCGATATGCCTGTTCTGTTGCACACTCTGTCTCTGGTGTATCCTCTCACCACCACCACCCACCTCTGGCCTACACCCCAGTTCTTGTATGCATAAATAATCTTTATTTTTTAAAAATGAATATGCTTTACCTCAGGTGTTACTTTTAAGAAATAATGGTCTATGAGCAATTACAGTGAGCAGAAAAATCCCAGCACTTCTTCCTGGGTACCATTGAATATTAGGTAGGGGAAATGAAAAGCTCCTATCAAATAGGAATCTAAGTTAAATAATATTCTCAAGTGAAAACCATATTTCATTTACATCAGGGAGGTGAAAATAGAATTTTGTCTAGATTTAATAGACTACACTTCTGTGCAATATCACTGACCACGCTGAGCAACCTTAAACTTTTCCTTTTGAAATTTTGTTGTATTCCTGCAATAACCATAATTTTTAAATGTATTTATTAAATACTTTTTCAGCATTTACTAAAGTTTAGATATTGTGGCATTATACCTCCCCTCAAAAGTTGAAGGGACAATAGGAGCAACAATTATGCATCATTAGCTATTAAATATCAAGCCATCTTTTCATTCTTATTTTTCAATGCTCCTCTTTAGCTATCAGCCAGACGAACTCTACTTTGTATACATTATGTATACATTACTGTGTGTTTTTAGTTACATGCCATTTCTCATGTTGTGCTCTATAAGATACACTTGTTCCATGGGGGGAAAAATGTAAAAATGTAAAATAAAAAAAATGTAAAAATGTAAAATAAAAAAAAAAGATACACTTGTTCCTCAGTGTATCTGAGGAACACACTTTCTGTTTACCCTTTGGAAACCCAGCACAGTACACTTCATCCATATAACACCCCTTATTTCTCCAGATGATGTAATCTTGTCTTTCCCTGAATTCCTAAAAATCATTTTTGTACCTCACTAAAGTAGTACCATATTTCATCAGTTCTGAGATGCACATTTTAACACCTCTGTAGATTACTCTTTCAAGATATATGCTGTGTCATCAACATCATTGAAAGGATGCGAGGTGCTTTTCCATAGGCAAACATAACAAAGTACTTTGAGTCAGAAAGTATCAATAATTCAGAAGAGTGGAGAAGCACTAGGAACACCTTACGAAATTCATTTTGTATATATTCTTTTTATGTATACACTATATGGTATATGACAAAATCTTCCTACATAAGTTTTCACAAACTTCTTTAATACAAAATTAAAATTCTAAGTGAATTTCTAATTCACAATTCTATTTCATTGTTTTTTAATTCATTTGGCAGCTGCTTTTCTTAGTGTATGTAAAATAATGGTGTAATTTACAAAGTGGTGTCCTAGATTCAAAGAATTAACTTTAATAAGCATTTAGCGTATTTACCTTCCGAATTATGTCATGTGTGAGAGTATATGTGTGGTTGTATGTGTGTGTGCCTGAATCCTGAAAATTTTAAGGGCTACATTTTGATTCCCTTACAATGCCTAGCAGTGCTTTATGACAGATAGACACAAAATTAATAAATAGATTGAAATATGTATTATGATATAGTCATTGCCACAAATGGTAAACAGCTACTAGGACATTCTTAATTTCGTGCTTGATTGTATTTTTGTTAGAAACGTATTTATATGTGGTGTTGGGTCAGGTCTTTTGACTCACTCTCAACTTAGGCCAATGGTTTTTGAACTAACTATAAATGATTCTAATAAAATTCTATAAACTTAGGCCTGGTTTGCTGACTGTATTTATGAGCAGATTTAGTGATTCATCTTGATTGAACCATGGAAAATAGTAAGTATAGTGTTTACTTGAAGGACACATGGCTGAGACTTTCTCTAATGATGCTAAAATTCTATAGGAGACTAGACAAATGATTGTCTCTAGGAAAGTTAGTACTTTTTAAAATATCCTTGTTTTCTTACCTCAGACAATTTCTTATACCTATAATAATAATTTTAAAAAAAAACAGCAAAGGGAATTAAAATAACTTAGGGGATTATGCCTGTGTGATGTTTTCTAGAAATTTCTACTCATTCTTTGGACTGCAAGCACAATAAAATATCTATTAAGTTTTTTTTTTTGAGTCAGCTAACAATGATATTTCTGATTCAAATTAAATTTGCTTCCGTTTTTCTCTAAAGAAAGGATCAATGCCTATGTGTTCACAAAACAATGACCTGGAGCAGAACTGTGGTAGTCCACTCTGCAATTCACCAAATATTTCCAGTCGCTTTCTGGCTAGATGTTAGGATTGATTGTACGTGCTTAGGCCATTGAAGTTAGCTTTGGTCTTGTGGCTTTCTTTGTCCAGTGAATTGAGATCAGAAGAGACAGGAATCTATAAAATTAGGACATAATTCATCACAATTCCTTTGTCCTTTTTTCTGTTAATGCCCCCTTAGCCTGAGTCTCCAAGTAAAGGACAGCATAGATTCAGACTTCCATTCCTCGTAGTTGACCTTCTTGTAGACATGTTTAATGCCACAAAGATTGGGGGGTTATGAGATCAGCATAATATAGCTGACCGATGTAGACTTTTACAGTAAAACAGTGGTATTTAGTCATAACTGAATAAGTCTAAACAACTTGCTGTACTGATATTACCCAGTATTTCTTCCCTATGGAAATATTTATTATATAGTTATTAGAAACTAATATTCATCTCAGACAGTTAGAAAAAGTCATTTTACGTATGTCAAAAAAGTACCTTTCTTTGAATTACAATCTTTTCTGAAGACATTTCAGAAATGTCTTCCCAGTATCTTTTCATAAACCAGTTGTTGAGGCTAGGAGTTCAGAGAACTTTAAATAATATAGGGGAAGTGGCAGGAAGCAAGCAGGGACCAGAAACTAGAAAGCACCTGATTTGAATTCTATGTGTTTTCTTGGGTTTATAAATCATATCTATTTCATATTAAAATAGTTCACTGTGTTCAGAACTTAACTTTACAAATATGCAAGGTGATACAGACCAAATATTAATGCTTATAAGACCAACACATTGCCTTATATTTATTACTTTTTTACCCCCCGTGGTAGGATGAAACTTCTTGTCTCCCAACTGTCAACATTTTTAAAATGCTTATAGTGCACCAGCTACTTTGATATTGTCATGCTCCTTTGACATGCTATTCTGATCCTATTCACTTAATTTAGCTCAGGATCATTGACTGCCACTGCTATTGAAATTGCTGACATTATCATAGAAAAGGGTATATTTTCTATGTTATATTTGTGTGCTTTAAAAATATGCATATTATTAACATTAAATGTTTGTCTAGAAAATTAAAGAAGTGAGAAATGAAGTACTTCAAATCAAATAAAAATCTTAATTATCCTTGTATCAGAAGGGAAAAAAATCAACATTTTGTCATGTGGCCTCAAGCTAGAAGTTTAAAAATTAAAAGCCAGATTCTGATTTAGGTCCTCATTATAAAAATCTAAATATCTTTTGCAGTGATTTTACAGGAAAGTAAGAAGATAGCAAGGTTCTCTTATTTATTTTTCTTCCCATCACTTTTTGCTTTTCATCCTAGGGATTCTTCAGCAAGCGTCTGAAAGGCTCCATCAAGAGGACCAAAAGCCAATCAAAGCTGGACAGGAACACAAGCTTCCGGCTTCCCTCCCTTCGCAATACAGAGGACAGGTAGGAAGTGAACTGGCTTAAAACACAGCAGTTTTACAATATGTTCTGATAGTGCATTTTTCCATCTTTTCTAACTTTGTAGCAATGACAAAGATTAAATACAAAATGTCAGCTCAAATATTGAAGGATCTTACAATAATGAAATGTTTGTCAGTACGTAAAAACTAAATTAAGAATCATTGTGCTGGGTCTATAGAATCAAGTTATAGTAGCTACAGGTGTAACTTTCCTTCATGAAATGACTGTGAGGATGGTGGTGCTAATATTTTTGAGCATTATATTAGATGCCTTATGCACATTATCTTCTTTAATCTTTATAATAACATGATAAGGTAAAATCATTGAATATGTGCTAGGACATGTCTTTTCCCCAAATTTTAATGATTTTTTATTCATTTATATAACTCTACAATTTGGGAGTTATAGCTTCACACCTCAACATATTCCTGTGCCACAGTTACATTACTTCCCCACCTCCTCTCCTACATACCCCACCCCTTGTACAAACATACTGTAAACCACCTTAGTTTCTAAGAATTATTTTTTGTTGCGATTTCCTTAACTACTTACATTCCACAAATGAGAGAAACCATGTAGTAGTTGTCTTTTACTTTCAGATTTATTTCACTTAGCATAGTCACCTCATTGGTACATATATTGGTTCCCATATTGTACCAAGCAGCACTATTTCACCTTTTCTAGTAGCTGAGTAGCATTCCACTGAGCATATATGTCATAATTTCTCTATCCAGTCACATGTCAATTGGTATTTAAGTTGATTCCATATCTAAGCTATTGTGAATAATGCTCCCTATGAGGATATGGGTGCATAAATCTTTCTTTTTTAATGTTTTCATAGTCTTTGCATAAATACTTACAGTGGTATTGCTGGATCATATAGTATTTCCAATTTTCATTTTGTGCCTTTTTCCATCTCAGTTTAATCCCCATGGGCTTCCCATCACCAAATCACCTGTGTGCAATTTTCATTTTTAAAAGAATTTCATACTGCTTTGTATAGAGACTTATGTCACCTTATATTCCAGCAACTGGTACATGAGTGTTCCTTTTTCTCCACACCCTTGCTGGTACTCATTTTTTCCAGTTTTGTTTTTTTTTTTTTTTTTTTGAGTAAGTCATTCTAAGGTGTTAATCTCACTATGGCCTTGACTTCTGTTTCCCTTATAATAATGATTCTGAACATTTTTTCATTTGTCTGTTGAGCATCTATCTTCTTTGAAGAAAAGTCTGTTTAGCCCTTTTGCCCATTTTTAGGACATAATTTTAATACTTCATGTCTACATAATGTTTAAAACTTCAGAAATGGCACCTGGTATATCTTGAAATCACAGCATTTATTGAGTGTTACTATGTGTTAAGATTTTTAATGTGGTCTTTCATGTAACATAACTCTAGACAATATTATTATCCTCATTTCACAGAAGAAGAGGTAAAATAAAAGGGACTGAGAAAGTGGCACAAGGTCATACAGCTAGTAAGTAGAGTTTGAGTTTGAATTCATGTCTGCCTTTCATATTTAATACAGATATTTATGATGGATGAATAAACACATATGTAGTATTTACTATATGCCAGACACTGTTTTAGGCAGTTTTCATCAACTAACTCACTTTAACATCACAACAATCCTGCGTGGTAGCTACTCTCATGATCTCATTTTGAAGATGAGAAACCTGGGATTCAGAGATTTTAGGAAATTTCCCAAGATTGCACAGCTTAGAAGTATGGTAGAATTTAGGCTTCCATCCAAAAGGTTTAGCATAGAGTCCACATGTTTACCTTTCAAGAAAAGGTAGGGGGTTGGGGCAAGGTGAATTTCCTTGCTCTAATTTGTAGTTCCCTAATGGCTCATATGTTAAATATCTTTTTACATGTTTTCTTTTTATATGACTTGCCTATTTATTCCTTTACCCATTTTTTTGTTGAACTATTTGCCTTTTTTTTATGATTCAGCATAGTTCTTTGTTTTTGCCAGGGATGTCAGCCACTGTTATGCTTATTGCTAAATTTTCTCCCATTCTGTTTCTTGTATTTTAAAATCATGGCTAAATTATATAGAAGGTTTAGATTTTCATTTGGCTCAACATGTCATATTTTCTTTGTTGCTTACCTGGCTGAATTTGACCAGAACATTGAACTCAAGAAGCCAGGGATCTGTTTCTCATTAAATGCTTATTAGGATGCTGTGCAAATCATTTTATCTCTCTCTTCTTCAAGAGGAGGAAATATTCCGTCCAGAGGTATCAGAAGGAAAATAAATTAGTGATCATGATTTTGTGGATGTGTGTTGATGAGATTTTTAATTCTTGGAGGATTTTGATAACCTCATTTGCACTCATAACCTTTTAAAAATAGAGAATTATTCTTATGAGATCTGAGTTACTACTTTGAGATAGCAGAGAAATTGACTTAAATGAATAGTTTTATCTTACAAGGGTTTCTACATAAGGTCAGTAAGCTTTTCTGTGAAGAAATACCAAAAGTATTTTAATATGCAGACTTGGTTGATTAAAAAGTCTCTGACAGCTCCAGATTTGTCTAACCAATGATTGTAAGTCATAAACTCTGCTGTAAGTCCCTGGTGGAATTATTTATCAGTGTTACTTTTGGGCCAATTTATAATGATCTTTAAACTCAGAATTTCTTTTTTAGAATTGTGTGACATCAGCATAAAAAGTGAAAAATTTGCCTAACAATATTTCTGAAAAGCAAATTTCTTTATATGTCATGACATGTAATGTGTGAGAAAACCACATACTACATGGGAATAATGACACCTAAAAATACAGTCACTGGCCACAAGGAGTCCAATAAAAAAGTCAAAGAGCAAGCAAATGGCACAGAAAAGGTTAAGTTTCTTCTTGGGTGGATCAGGAAAAGGCCTTTGATGGCAGAAACCTATGAGCTGAACCTTTCAGAGACAGTATAATTTGAACTGAGAACACAGGGGTGAGCTTTTTTCCAAGTGGAAATAATGATCAAAACAAAAAGTGCAAAATCATGAAACTTGAAGGGAAATATGTTTGTTCATGATATGTAATGAAAATATAGCATTCCTTGGCCCTCCCTGGTGGCGCAGCAGGTTAAAGCACAGCACTAAGAAGCTTAAGCCACTTCCGCATGAGTTCGATCCCCGCCTGCCCCAGAGATGACCACATGGCTTGGCAGACCTCTCCTGACCTGCCCATTGCTCCCCTCAGCAGTGTACTTCGTTGATCTGCCTGTTCTGCTCCCCACTCTGTCCCTGGTGAATCCTCTCACCCTCCGCATCTCTGGCCTGTACCCCAGTTCTGTATGAATAAATAAATAAATCTTTAAAAAATATAAATGCATAATAAAAAAGAAAATACAGCATTCCATTTTTTAAGTTGATAAATAAAAATCTTTCTGATTTATATGTCTTAAAAAATACTCAATATAAGAAACAAAAATATGACCTCTGTCTTTGGTGAAACTATGAGGAAACTGAGTTAGATTATTTAAAATAAGAGGAAGATTAAATGTAATTGTCTATAGAAGGGAATTCTAAAAGAAGTCTATCAGTTAGCACTCAGATCAGCTTCTGATAAATAGGTATTAAAAATATCTTAAACAATGTCTAGTGATTTTTTTTCCTCACATCAGAGAAGTCTGAAGCTGGGCAGTCCAGGCTAAGCAGCAAGGGCTTTTTGTTAGCCTTTTCCTTTGCCATTCATAAGCACTTCAAGGATTTCTTTAATAGCACAAGATAGTTACGAGAACTTCAGCCATAGTGTCCTTGTTTCTGGGTCATAAAAGAGCATCTTTCTTCCAACTAAGTTATTTCCCTTTCAAGTGACTTCCCTGAAACCCTGTCTAGTGACTTCTACTTATTTCTGATCTCTACCTTTATTTACATGAGATGCTGGGAATTTTATACCTGAGTGCATCATTGCCCCAGTAATACAACAGTCTGTTATTAAGGAAGGGATATGGGATAGCTATGAATCTGGTATATGTGTACATGTGTGAAAATTTACTTGTGTCCTTGTAACCATTCACTTAATATCACCTTATGATTTATGACATTGAGTACATTTCAGTTTAAGCTCAGCCACAAGTTAATTGACTGTATGCCAGACAGCTGCAGTGTTTGACATAAGGAGGAGGTTGATTCACCCACCCACCATCAGAAATCTGGAAATATGTAGCTCCCACCCAGCTGTCAGAAACCAGCAGCCACTTATTACATTACAAAGTTGAGAAATTTAGACAATTCACATAAAAAGACCTATAGATACTGACATTTGTGTCCCCTTCCATGAAAATTGAAGCTTGATAACTCCACTTTAAGTACATCCAATGTAAATGAAAACATATGTCCCCAGAAAAACTTTTATATGAATATTCTTAGTTTCATTATTCAGAACAGCCAAAAGCCCATCAACTGATAGCTAGGTATGCAAATGTGGTCTGTAACAAGCAATGCAATTATTATTCAGCCATAAAAGGGATGCAGTAGTGATACACACTACAGCCTGAATAAACCTTGGAAACTTTATTCTAAGCAAAAGAAGCCAATCACACGATTGACAAATACATGATTCCATTTATGTGAAGTGTCCAAAATAGGAAAATCTATAGAGATAGGAGATTAATAGTTGGAAGAGACTGGGGCTGGGGCTCTGATGAATGAGAACTGACTGCTAATGGGTATAATATTTCTCTTGGAGTATGAAAATATTTTAAGCTTAGACTGTATGACTGTTGTACTGAAAACTATACTCAATGGGCCTATTTTGTGATATGTTAATTATATCTCCTATCTCAATAAAAATGCTAAATTATTAAAAACAAAAACAAAAATCTGGCCAAGGAAGTTTCTACAATAACATTCTTTGTCTGTAAGCTACATTCCAGCACACAAAGCTTCCACTGAACTTTTTAGTCATTTACTTTTAAATATAGACAAGTAGCCAAGGATCTCCAGGTATTTAAAATAATTCTCCAAAATGACAGAG